CCAGCAGGGCGTTATCTCCTGAGGGGTCCGACTGCGAGAGGGCACAGGCCGGGCTGAGGCCCCCCCCCCACCCCAGTGGACAAATTTTTGTGCACCGGGCCTCTAGTAGTTTCAATAATTGTCTCTAGGCTCTTCAATAGTCATTTTTCTCTCAAGTGATTTGTTTTCCAACCCACCATTGCTCTATGTCTTCTGTCAGGCCAAAACCCATTATAATGCACTATCAGAATTATTAATATTCTTCCAAAGCATACACTCATGTTAACCTCTTTCATGGACTTAGCCAACTTTCTACCTTTGTTTCTGCTAACTATTCTGGGCTACTTGGTGCTACTAGAAAAAATATCACGTCATAATCAACTGGTACTGTAACCTTATCAATTCTAAGTCTTTTTACAGATTGTTATGAATTGACTTTTATTCCCCTCAGCATGTTGTTTTTTAAAAAATATATATATTTTATTGATTTTTTACAGAGAGGGAGAGGGATAGTTAGAAACATCAATCAGTTCCCTCCTAACACTCCCTACTGGGGATGTGCCCGCAACCAAGGTACATGCCGTTGACTGGAATCAAACCTGGGACCTTTCAGTCCACAAGCCGATGGTCTATCTACTAAGCCAAAGCGGTTAGGGCTCAGCATGTTTTTTAAAGGAAGTTATTATTTCTTTATAACAGTTTCTCTATTACTTGTGCTCAGTCTTCTTCTAGTATCCCTATGATACAAATGTTTTGTTTCATGGTGTCCCAAAGTTCCCTTAAACTAGCCTCCTGATCTTCAATTTTTCCTTTTGCTGCTCTAATTGGTTTTTTCCCTACCTTGTATTTCAAGTCACTGATTCTATCTTCTGCCCCACTTAATCTACTTTTGATTCCTTCTAATGCATTCTTTATGTCAGATAGTAATCTCCAACTGATTCTTTTTTTAAAATATATTTTATTACTCCCTACTGGGTATGTGCCTGCAACTAAGGTACATGCCCTTGATCGGAATCGAACCTGGGACCCTTGAGTCCAGAGGCCGACACTCTACCCACTGAGCCAAACTGGTTAGGGCCCAACTGATTCTCATTTATGGTTTCTATTTCCTGTTTCATGCTGTTGTAGTTCTAAGTTTCTGGAAATCCTCACAAAGTTCCTTGATCATCTTTATAACCATTACTTTGAACTCTGTACCTGACAAATTGCTTGCCTCCTTTTCACTTAGCCTTCTTTCTGGAGATTCCCCCTTTTATTTGTGTGTTGTTTGTCTCCCCATTTTTGCTGTCCCTTTGTATTTGTTTCTATGTATTAGATCAAATTGCTATGCCTTCCAGTCTTCATGGGATGGTCTTATGTAGTAAGTGTATTGTGCAGTCTCATTGGTGCAGTCTCTCAGACCTCTTGAGTTGGGGGCGGGCAGGCTAGGAATGTCTCTTGTGTCATTTGGTATTTCCTATTGTAATTGGGTCTTGAATGTTGTTGTCCCATTTGTGGGAAGAATCTCCTTTCAGGATGGGTGAATGTGAGGCCACCCCAACACACACTGTGTTGTGCAGGTGTGCATCTGATCACAAACGGTCTTGGACAACAGCTCTCCCACCAGGCAAAGGTCTTTGTTTCTAAGCTAACAGCTTGCCTGAGATCAACTGAGAAACCTGTTCCCTGTGAAGAGATTTGCTACAGAAATACTCCCTCCCAACCCCGCTTTGGATCACCATTTTCCCCAAGACTAAGGACAAAGGGATCAATACTGTATTTGTTGAATGAGAAATCCCTTACATTCATAAACATACATACACATTCATCCTTAACTATTCCACAATTTTAGAGATTAAAGTGTCTCTTGTTTCTCTAAGCCGATTCTCCCATCCCTTCCTTCCTTGGTCACCCTGTTCCATCAGTCACCCCTTCTCTTCATTCAAGTCACTTTATTTTGTTAATCCTCACCAAAGGATATTTTTCCATTAGTTTTTAGAGAGTGGAAGGGAGGTGGGAAGACAGAGAGAGAAACATAGATGTGAGTAACAATGTTTGGTTGTCTCTCACATATGCCCTGACCAGGGCCAGCTATCAAACCTGCAACTGAGGTATGTGCTCTTGACTGGAATCGGACCCAGAATCCTTCAGGGCATATGTGGTAGGAAGCTTGTTTGACTGAATTAAGAGATGACCCACCTTGTAAAACACAACTAAAAGCCTTGTTACAGTCTCAAACAGTCTGCAAAACTATCCCAGAATTTTATGTTCCCAGTTGTTATATGTTTGCCAAGAATAAATTTTGTTGGTCCCATTATGTCCTTTTTAAAAATTACATAATTAAATGAATAGGTAAAGTAGTATAAAGAACTGCATCTAAAAAAATGAGGCAAATATTTTAGAAAGAGATAAAGGACAGTTGCTAAAAGAAGTATTGTGAAACAAAGTGTGACAAGTCTACATAGGAAAAAAAAACTAGGCATTTTTCAAGTGACAGAATTCTCTTGCCACTTTAAAGGTGGTTCAGAAGAAAACAATAATTTGGTAAATGTTACTCAAGGCTATCCTGCTAATTTAAAGTTTCACTTTAAATGAAAAAGACTGATTATTGAACACATATTTAAGTCAAAATGTTTGCCTTTGATTGACAAATTATATATTTTTATTGATTTCAGAGAGACAGGGAGAGGGAAAGATAGAAACATCAATGATGAGAGAACCATCAATCAGCTACCTCCTGCAACCACCCCACTGGGGATCAAACATGCAACTTGAGGAAGGGGCCCTGACCAGGAATCCAATCTCGTGGTTCATAGATCAACACTGAATCACTGAGTCATACCAGCAGACAATATATTTGCTTTTTAATAAATCCTCACTTCAATTCTCTACTGGTCCCAAATCATGGGATAAGAGACTCTAAATATGGCAAATAGTCAATTTTAATATGTAACATATATTTATTGATTTCAGAGAGGAAGAAAAAAGGAGAGATAGAAACATCAATGATGACAGAGAATCATTTCTTGGCTGCCTCCTGCACCCCCCTACTGTGGATGAGCCCCCAACCCCACATGTGTTCTGACCAGGAGTCAAACCCTGACTTCCTTGGTTCATAGGTCAATGCTCAGCCACTGAGTCACAGCAGCCAGGCATTAATATTTTTAAGTATTGATGATGAAATGTGTATGAGGAAATCGATGATGAATTAAAGCATGGTTGTCCATCATAAACTCCTTGGCATATCACAAGGGATGGCTGGTAGCACTAAATCCTTAGTGGTGGTTGAATGGATAGGAGGAAATAAAGGAAAGTAGTAGGATAGCTAAGAATTTCTACTACACAGAAACCTTACCTGGATCTTCAGCTATAAATAGAAATCTGAAGTTGATAAAGGAAACAAGAAAAACAAATGCTAGACTCGTCAAACTTTAGTTTCTTCCCCCTCTATTGGTATTTCCCAATACCATCGCTTTTGTCATTAAGTAGCACAGTATTTGGGGTCTTGAGAACTCTAAATTTTGTCTTCCCACCCAATGTTAACCGTCCACTATACCTGTTTTTGGATGTGCTCCTTGACCTTCTACCTCTCTCTCTGGAATGAGATCTTCTCCGTCTGGGACTTTTGGATCGTCGCCTACTCCTTGACTTAGAATGTGACCTCCTTCTAGATCTGCTTCTTGACCGCCTAATGAAAGAAAGCCAATAAGGAGACTTAAATAGGAAAGGTTAGTTGTGTTTATGACTATATCACTTAGTATCAGATAAAAGACCTATAAGCTTCATTAAGTGGGGACAATTTACTACCAGTTGCTATCATTATTTAGTCCATATAATAAACATTTTTATTACCCTAGAAATATGAATACCTTTTGTTGAAACTATCAGACTAGTCCTATGTCCATTGAAACTATAATAGCAAATGTAAAAATACTGCTAGAGCATGAAAAAAAAAGATCAAATTAAAAAAAAAATCCTGAACGATTTGCATTATCTTCCTCAGTATATAGCACCTTAGCATGTTATTTATTGATTCCTCACTATTGCATGTTAAATCTATCAATTACCAAATACTCATATATGCTTACTACATGTTTTATAAATACTCATAATGAGCCTACAATGTAGGTATCATTATTACTCCCATCTTATAAATGAAACCACTTAGTGTTGCTTCTATAATTTCTAATTTTTGTTCTCTAAAATATATCCTACTTCTTCAATTTGCAATTTAAGAGCAATGCAGGCCTTCCTTATACAGATTTATATAATTCAGTACAAACTGCCTTATTCTCACCACCATTCCTTCCTGTCATATAAAAGAAATGTCTCTGTAAGCTCTTCATTCCACTCCTCCCCTCAAACCTATAGTTTCTTTCTCTCCCAGAATTTAAGTAAAATTAACCCTTTTGATGTTATCATTAATCCTCCTTCCTGTAGTTTATTCCCTTCTACATTAAGATTAAAAATAAACTGCAATATTTTGCTTAGACTTAAATCATTTAACTTTTAGTGACGATTCAACCTTTCTCTGAAAATTTTCAAATATATTCTAAACCTTTTGCCTTCACATTTTCAAGGTGCCAAAGGACAGACATTTTATAAATGGAAATTATCTCATTTATAAGGCAGCAAACTGAGTGCATTCATTAACTAATCTCTTTCAGCCTACTACTTTAGCAAAGAAAAATAATAGCACTTCCATTACAGAACTTTTGTAATTTAAAAGGAATTAAAAAACTCAGCACTCTGGCCTTAGTATAAGTATGTACATTAAATACTGACCTTCTTCTTCTTGCTTATGTATTAACAAAATTTCTGTTGCCATCATTCTCTAAAATAGCTGTTTTAAAATTCATTACTGGTGTTTCATCAAATCCAACGAAGTTTTATTTTAATCATCTTATATTTGACCATATTATGCAACTATTTTTTTTTAAATATTTTTTTTAATTTTTTTTTTATATATTTTATTGATTTTTTACAGAGAGGAAGGGAGAGAGACAGAGAGTTAGAAACATCGATAGAGAGAGACAAATATATATATATATATGTATTTTTACCATTGACAGTATTACAGATGACCTCCATTTCCTCCCCATGTCCCCCCTCACCCCCCCACCCAGGCTTTCACCACACTATTGTGCGTCCATGGGCTGTGCTCTATCCACTGAGCCAAACCGGTCTCGGCATATTATGCAACTATTTTCTAAAACATTTCCCTCTTAAAACATGTCTATATCCTAGAAAATTTTCATGTAATGCTTACCTTTTTGTAAGTTCCATAAGGACAGGAAGTGTGTATATCTTACCGACCACAAACCCTTGAGAAATTACTAGTGTGTCTGACTTAAATGAAAGGTATGAATATAGGGTATCCCCCCCCCTCCCCAAAATGTATACACACACTTTGAATAATCGTAAAGATTTTTTGGGGGACACTGTATTTTGATTCTGATATAAAATATCAGATTCCTCACTTTCTTGAAAAAAAAAAAATATTTTAAATATATTTTATTGATTTTTTTACAGAGAAGAAAGGAGAGGGAGAGTTAGAAACAGCGATGAGAGAGAAACATCGAACAGCTGTCTCCTGCACACTCCCTACTGGGTATGTGCCCGTAACCAAGGTACATGCCCTTGATCGGAATTGAACCTGGGACCCTGGAGTCTGCAGGCCGACGCTCTATTCACTGAGCCAAACTGGTTAGGGCCATTCATTTATTCTTTAAAGTGCCCCTCGGACTCTAATTCTT